GATCTCCTCACCCACACAGGTGAGATGCTCCATTCGGCTGGTTTTGCTTTGTTTTTTAAAATCCTCGAGTCCTGGCTGTGCCCGGGGTTTTGGCGGCGAGCAGGCAGCTCCCTAGGATTAAGCCTAGCCCGCCCAGGGCAGGTGCCTCCCTCAGCGCTGGGGAGGAGCGGGGAGAGGAAGACGTGGCGGCTGTGCTGAGGCACTGCCCGGGACAGGCACGGCTCCCGCCCGCCATCAGCCCCTCTCCCCGGCCGGGCCCCGGCTTTAATTAGCCATGGCCCAGAGCGGCTTTCCCCGGCCATCTGTAGCCCCGGTCACCGACCTAATCGGGGGGATAAGCTGCTTATGGAGCCGCAGCTGCAGCGGGCGCGGGGCGCGGCGCTGAGGGGGCCCAGCGTGGCTGTGGCCGCGAAGGAAGGGCCGGCTCAGGCGCGTGTGGTCAGTCCCCGGGGCCCAGCAGTGCGGCCGCTGCCTCTCGGAGTGGGTAAGTGGAGCCTGGGCCGCGGGTGAGGAGCTTCTCATTCCAACTGCGGCATCCTGGGACACCGGCGGGTGCTTGGAGGGCAGCACCTGTGGGTCTGGGAGGGAAGAGCACCTGTGTGTGCTTGTTGATCTCACAGGCGTCAAGCGACGGCAGTGATGGTTGGTTTGGTTTGTAACGCTGAGCAGTGTTTGGAAAAAAAAACCTGCTTTCTAAGGCAGCTGAAGTGTGATCTCGGAGTAAGCCCCTGCTTGGAACATGCGATGGATCAGTCTTGATCTGCAGGGATCGGGAAATAAGCACTGTGTGCGCAGTGCAAATGTGTTTATTATGGGTCTGGTGTTGTTACCGTATTGCTGAAATGGCATTTGCTTGAAAGAGCTTGATTTACTTTTCATTAACTGTGCTATTTATTTCCTTTTGCTTATAACAACAGAAATAACTTGATCGTCTTAATTTTTATTTGCCTAATTGAATTTATTTCAGGTTTTAATGCCTTAGTGTGTTGCTGCAAAGTGTGTATATAGTAAGCATGCATTAAATGTTTTAGTTGGAATCATAAAAACTAATATAAAATCCATTGGTCATGGATTTTGCAGTTTACTGCTTAAAAGTTGTTATGTTAAAGATCTGAGTAGCAATTTCAGAAGGCGGACAAACGTGGTTCTAAAAAGGTACTATTTCTTCCAGATCTCAATGAGACTGAAATTAGGAATGAGTGAGGTGAAGAACACTACCTGAAACAGCCATGGTGATGTGTTGAGAACCTGGTACCTAGCACTAAGAATTGAAATGGAGAGTTAAAAAAAATCACAAGTTATCAAGAAAATAAATTATTATCAAGAAAATAGATCATGTCCAGATTCTTGAGCATAAGGTAGTCCAGAGCCAGGTTTTGGGTGTTCACAGAGCGAAACAACACTGAAAAACGTGGTTTGCAATTTAAATCCTTTGTAACACCCTTTTGTGATACATTGCTTGTTGATTGGATATTTCTGGGATGCAAGGAGTGCTTCCATGGAACACCAGTCCACTGCATTTTGTGGTTATACTTCATGCAGTGATAGGCTCCCTAAGGAAGGCAGCTGTGCTTTGTCTGTTCACTCTGTAGTTGCCAACTTCAGCTGGTCTGGAAGAAATAATGGGATCTTTCCGTTCATGGCACCCTCGGTGATACATGAAAGGCAGTAACAGCAGTTCCCAGGGATAATTGCAGCACCGCCTCACTGTCTCCTGCTGCTTTAGAAACTGTGTTTGCTCCCCAGATTGTGGTGATTACTGAAGGAGTTTGCATGTGAGAGGGAAAAATGAGCTGTTACAAACAGGGACAACTAAGCCTCAAATGTTCTTTTAGAAGGGAATGAGATAAACACAGCTTAGAAACAGTGCAATTTGGCAGGAGGCTTTCTGGGATTAGAATGTGTTTGAAAAAGACAATGGGCATTGATTTCGTTGATGTCTCTTCTCAGATTGACTAGGGGGCTTTAAGATGATAGAGATGTGTGTGTCTTTATACAATACCATTTTCATTTTTTAAAAGAGAGGTGGAAAAGAATGGTGGTTAGAATGACAGTGATTGACAACTTGCTTTTAAAATCTGAGGGAATGGAACCACAGTCCTCTCAAATTGCACTTGCCTGTTAGCTGCAACTTAAGAATCCATTTTCAGCATGAGTGTTATATGTATAACCATCAGACTTGGTGGCTAGACTGCAAAGTAGGTCTCCCAGCTATGCTGTAAATCTTCCAAATTAGGGGACAGTGTGGCTTTTATAGATATGTAAACATGGTTTCATCCTTTAGTGCAGACAAAAAGAAATAAGTCTGTAGCCTTGAACTTGGGATAATTCAGCCTTGCTAGCAACAAGACTCCTTCTGAGGCTGCTGGTATATAATGCTGGAAGTCTTTGTTTTCCAGGTTTTTTGTGGAGAACTGAATCTGTCCTTTTCATTTATTCCTGCTCTGCCAGATACGATTGTCTGCTGAAAAACAGGAAGAAAGTAGTGTCCATAACACTTTCAGGACTGAGGCTGGTGGATCAGAGACAAGAAATTCACAAGGAAAGTACCCAAAGGCTTTTGGAAACTAGGCAAGATGAGATAGGAAATACTCACAGTCCTTTGCTTATATTTCTTCTTGTTTTTCTTCAGAGCAAAGAAACATTCAGAAGAACATGAATTTCAATCTGTATTTGGGCACTAGAAGTCAAGTAGACATTTCTCATCCCTGGCCTGAGGCTGCAGCATTTGGTAAAAGCCCAGAGACAGCAGCACAGGGCTAGCTGTGTACCACACCTCTGTCAGATGGGAAGAGATCCCAATCTGAAGACAGACTAATCTCTCCTGCCCTTCTCAGCCGTTTCCAGACACTGCCAGCCAGTTTTCCAGTTCCTGCTTGCTGCAGCAGAATAATCTGTGCTCTAGCAGCAGCAGCACAGCTCTAAGTGTGTAGTTCATAGAGTCCCCATTCTGCTTTGTCAGTCCTCCCTGCTGTGTATCTCCCCCAGAGGCACTTTCACCTTGAGGCTTGTGTTTTGGAAGGGAGAAGGAGTGAGAGTCCTGACTTTCCTCAACAACACCATCAGGAAGCAAAGGCAGCTGGTAGCTGCTCCATACCCACTGTTCACCATCACTGTTCAGAAAGAAGGAGCAAGAACTGTGATTATCTGGTGGAAAGCCTACAGCATCAGCCTTCTGCTGCTTCTTGTATGAATCCTGTGAACCTTTTAGTGGTCAGTGCATGTTTGTCATCTCATGCTGCAGATTCCCCTCTTAGGCATGAATTAGTGGTGGGTCCTTCTTTAAAGAGCTCAAGTGAAAGTGTGAACACTTGTCACAGTTCAGCCCTGACCCTGAGGAATCTTGATCCATCTAATCTGGAGTCTTTTCAGTCTCTTTTGCAATCCTCACAGATTTCTGCTAGCTTGTACTGTTCAGTCCAGAGGCTTAAGCAAGAAAGTGTTTGATGGGGATACGAGGTTCCCTCCCTCTGCAGACTGAGTCTTCTCCAGTCATTGGCCATTCATGCTTTGCTCCTGATGATTTAGGTCCCAGTATCCTGACCATAGGAGAACAGCTAGCTGCAGTAAAAACCAGTGCTGCTCAGGGAAGATTGAAATGGAGTGTCCCATTTGCTAAAGACTGGAGCCTTAGTGCAGTGACAAGAGTCTTCAGTCCTGCTGAGTCTCTCTCTGGCTCTTACAGATACAGATACATTGGCTCTAACACATGGAGAACCAAAATTTCAGGTGGCATCCAACCACAAAGCCTTGCTTCTGGAATGGGCTCTGGCAGGCTAGTGGATACAGAAGCAGATTCCTCCTTCAATTGCTCCCCTTTCTTCAGATGCCAGTCCCTGGTAAAGCCATCTCTGGAAACTGGTAGTCTTTATGGTCACAGAAAAAATCATTCTTCTGGAAAGTTTGTTAAAGGAGAGCAGACCTCTAATGGGGGGTCTCCATGTGTTGAGTCTTGGAAGAAAGACCTTTCAGCCAGTCTGGGTCCAGAGGGTCTGCAGGTGTTACTGGAGATAGATTTGGAGGGGGCTCAGTGGAATGTTGGTGTAGCCATGTGTGGGACTCCTACAGAAGTGTGCGTGAGCATCGCTTCTCATCCTGGAGATAAAGAGTTTAGACCAGGCCAGCAGCTTAGTGTTAAATCTGTAGAAGTCAACAACTCTGATGTTAAGTGCAGCAAAGAGTCAGAAGAGGTATGTCACTCCAGACCACGAGCAGCCAGAAGAGCAGCTGCAGTGGGCAGCAGCCAGTCCAATCCTTCGGGTACAGCGGTTGAAGAAGGCTTTCATGAACATTCTGATCTAGATTGTATGAACATGAGCAGAGAAGGAAGGAGAAACAAATACTCCTACCAAAACAGCCGGCAGAATTTGGAAGCTGATGGCAATCTCCAGCAGTCTGAAGAATGTTCTGTAGAAAGGAATGCCAAAGAACCATGGTGCTGTGAAGAAGGGAACCAGACAGAGAAAACTGTGCCCAGAGAGGTGAGGGTGTGGTCACTGTGAAGCATCTCTGTTCACAGGTATTACTTGTGCTTGTTTCTGCCACTTGCTAGAGGTGCAGAGTTGAGGTACAAGTGATGGGGATGCTTGTCCTATAGTTTTTTCTTGTCACTGAATAGCCAGAATCTCGTCTCTTACAGTCCTCCTTCATCCCAATATATGCATCTTTCCATCTCACATGTTTCTTCCTAAAGACCAGCTGGTCAACTTGGTTGTTTTGGGATTGTAAACACCTGTTTATAGTCTCTGATCTACATGACGAGGGAAAGCATTAAACTGGATTTTACTCTGTGCAGTGTTGCAGGGCCCTGTGATTTCAGGCTTTTTGTGCCTTTTTATGTCTGAAGTGTATAAGAATATTCACAGAGCAATGGTGTGGGAGCAGTGTCCAAGGCATCCCACATAATGCATGATCTTGAAGCAGTCCTGTTCTGGTCTGCATCCAAAATGATGTGTGCCACAAAGACAAATTCTTAATAGAGTGGAGCAGTGTGAATAATTGTGAATTACTGTCTCTTGTCTGTTTGCAGACCTCAGAGGACAGCTTCTGGTCATTGAAGGTGAATGAGCAAAGGTAAAAAGACTCTGTGTTTAAGTATGGGTGTGCTGGTAGTTAACTGAGGAGCACTTCTGGGAAGTGGCTAAGGAGCCGTGTCCCTAGGAAGATTTAGGTTTAGGACTTAGCCTGCATTAATCTGCTGTGGTTGGCTGAGGGGCTGCATCCACTTCTTTTCAAAGGGTTGTCATTTAGAATGGAGCATGACCTGAAATATAATTTCTGTATCTTTTCAATGTTATCTTCTAAATTCAGCCTTGGTTGTTGCTAGAAATGAAGAAGTGTTGGTATCATCAGTGCTACTCTTCAATGCAGCAAATTCTGATGTGCTCACTGCACAGTTAGAGAAGATCAAGAGCTAGACTTATCCATGAGATGGAATTCAAATTTGTGAATGAGGTTGCTACCTGTTTAGCAACAGTCATTCCTTAATTTGGTGTGAGATTGCATGTTTTCCATTCTTTAAAGAGTATGATTTGAAATAACCTCTTTACAACTTGATGGCTGAACTCTGATTGCCACCTCCTGGCTGGTTTAACTTTCCTTTCTGTTAACAGGAACTCACCTCTGTTTTTCATTTTTAAGTTCCTGGCACTTGTGTGACAAACAAATCCTAGCAAGGTGTTTCCAAGCCTGGAGGAGACATATCCTTTGGAAGAGGGCAGCCACGCAGCTTTACAGACACCAGCTGCTTCAGAAGAGCTTTGGTGCTCTGCAGTGGATTGTGCACCAAAGGAGGACACAATTGGAGGTGGCCCAGCAGAGACATGCTTCAACTCTGCTAGCTGCCAGCTTCCAGAAGGTGAGCACTGGCTAGGGACAGTGGTGCCATGAACTTTCTGCTGTGCAGTCAGAGAAGGCACAAATCCTGTTTGGATAGGGAGGAGGAAGGGGTACACTGTGAAATTCTGTGATGTAGTCCCCAGTACCAATACTCTGTCTGTAGTTTGTTCTAACCATGTGGTTTCTTCTTCAGTGGAAGAAAGCTATGGCAAAACAGTGCAAGAAGGAAGCTCTGCAGCCTGAGCCTTACTCCTATACCCAAAGTTCATCAGCGGGGATTTTTGGAGTAGGAAGATTAGCCACTATGACAACCTCAGCTCAGCATCAGCTTGCAACAGGATACTCAAAGGAAGCAGAGCAGGCTCATAGGTAAGCAGAGATTATTCTTCTTCTGTTATCTTGGACAAAGGGAGGGTTACAAACACAGGGAAATTTTTTCTCAAATGATGGCAGACTTGTTTCCATGTCCTTGGATCTATTGCTGTGGGTAAACACTGCAAGAATTAGCAGTTTAATGTTAATAACTAAACAGTCCTATTTCAGAGCTTCTGTGCACCAGTGTTTGCAGTCTGAGTGTCTGACAGAAATACTCCTGTACTAATTCTTTGCTTCAGCTATCACCTGCATATGTGATAAAGGGATAAATGAGGTTGGAGTGAGGCAATACTACAGGCTCTAGCAGTAGTTTGGCAGTAGAGGTGTCAAAAGAAAAGCGTTTTGTTGAGGCTTCTAATTCTGGAGGCAGAAGAACAAGTTGAGACAAAAAGAAAGAGGAAAGCCCTGGATTCTGTCCTGTGAGTGCCTCTTTGGACAGCTGGATGTTGAGGCATGTTTGTGGCTCTTTCAGGATGGAGGGAAAACTGTGGACACAGCTTCGTCGTACGCAGAGAGGAGATGAGTTCTGCTGGAGAGTTGAAGCAATCAGAGACATGAGACAGCTGGCTGGTAAGCACACATTCCATAGTCTTGGAGGTATTCAGTGTTTCACCAGTTTTTGTGGTTTGTGTCTAGTTGTTGTTTTGAGCTCTTTCAGAATGTGATCCTGCAAGTAGCTGGACCAGTATGTGTGATGGGGGAGGATGGCCAGTCACCATGTCATACAAGTTTTGCCTCATTCCTTGTATGAATTCAGCTGCAGCATGTGTTGCTCCAGCAATGTGAGCTGCCTTCCTTAAGTGTCCTTCCTCTGGCAGCTTGGATTTAAGCCAGGGAATGTTTGCTGTGTGACACGAAGTTGTTTGAAGTTCTGCTATTTCTCTTCCTGTCAATCTCTTCCTGCCCTGCGACACAGCAGCTTTCAGACTGTGGCGCCTGCAGAAGGAGCTGCTGAGCAAAGAGGAAGCCAGGCTTTTGGAAGCTTGTGCTCTGCTGGAAAAGAAGAAGCTACGAAACATTTTCTGGATGTGGCATTCCAAAACCTTGGAAATGAAAGGGATTCTAACACTGACAACTCAAATCCAAAGAAACATGGTCTCCCGGTGAGTTGATGAGATCTGGTTTTCATGTGAAAAATCTGTTCTCTGTGAAAGTCCATGGAATAACAGAGCCAACCCAGACAGTAATAATTGTTCCATCTTAAAGCCATCTATCCTTTTGTTTTAGGAGTTAATAAAGATGAAGGTAGGGGTAGGAATATAAAAAGGAACTGCTGTGGCCAGAGATGTTATGACTTGCTTCCTGTGCATTGCCAAAACTTTTTTTGTCCTGACTTTTGATGTTCTGAAAGACCAAACCCAAAAGCAGCCACTATGTTGCTGTGCTCTAAGCACAACACTGTTTTTTTTACTGAAATAAACAAATAGAAGCTCAGGGAACAGCTTGTGTCTGTCTTTCCTGAACTAAACCTAGTCTCAGCAAGACACATAAGCTTGTATAAATGTTTTTCAACATTTTCCTTTGGTATTCTCAGGTGCTTCAGCACATGGAAGGAGACTGTTAAGCAGAAGGCACTTGACAGGTGCAACCTGGCCCATCTCAGAGCAGTATCTCTGAGGAAGCACTTCCAGCAGTGGGTTGAGATGCTGCGGGTCAGAGGAGGTGATAAGCAGGCAGTGGTGAACCTCTTCCTCCTACGAAGGAGGCAGCATTATGGTGAGCAGTTTGGGGTCTGTGCAGAATCTAAGCTTTAGACGTGCTTAGGTTCCTTCCTTTTCTTGTACACTGAAGACAGAGGGGCTCAGATGATACAGGGTATGAGCAAACCAGAGTGGGCAGAGGACTGGTTCTGGGTGTGTCAGTGAAGCTACAGGGAGGTTTGTTGCTCTGCATCATAAAGCAAACATAAACTCTTAAACCTTGCTGAAAAGAAGCAATTTGAGGGTTGGGCTGGGCTGAGTTGGAATGCCTTGAGACAATCTCTTGTTCCTTTATGTAACTGGTTAAGGAGCAGTTATGAGCTCAGTAGGTGACAAGACTGTGACAAAGAGGCATGAAGGTGAGCCATCATGGACTGGAGAGAGACAGTTTCTGGAGAAAACAGTCTATTCTTTTGATGACTTCTGCCAAAAACTGAAGCTGCAGAGAGTATATCTGCTGTGGAAAACAAGGCTGTGTGAGCATCACAAGGCTGAGTGAGTGCCGAAGAGCCAGTCCCTGGAGCCCTGCCCCCATTAGTAGTGTCCACTTGATTTTCTGAACCTTTTTTCTAGAGCCCTTTCTACCCTATCTATTGTCCATTATGTCTGTGCTAGTCACCCCCTCTGGTGTTCTTCTTTCACTTTACTGTCTCAGTATCTTCTGTCTCAGTTCTTTCTCTCAGACTTTGGAGCAGTGTAAACTCAAAAAAACTCTGAAATTATGGCACCAAAAGTATCTCATGCTGAAGACAATTGAACAAAGTTCTAAGCACTTGCATAGAGCTGTCTATGAGGAACCTCTTGCCATGCAGTTTTCTGAGGACCTCTCAACATCATCCGGCTTTGACAGCAGTGCACCAGCTACTCTGACCTCTCAAAGCTCATTGGAAAAGGTGAGACGGTCTTGGTAAACCTAGACTGCTCTGAGGTATTAAATTGCTGGGATTTTTCAGGGGAAAATGGCTTCTTCAACATGGTGTTGCCATCAGCAAACTGTGCTTAAAATTTAGTGCTGAATCTGTGGGGTCTTCAAGCTGAAATGAAATCTAAAGGTGTAAAGTCAATGGTCTCTGTGCCTTTTCTAGTTCTTCAGTTAGAGATGTGGGAAGCTGAGCTAGTGAGTTTCCCTTGTACAGTTGCTTCTGTTTGTGGCTGCAAGGTGGAAGGGATGAGATACAAAGAGCTTCCTCACTGAGACAGTGCATATGCTCATTTCCTCTTTTCTCAATATAGAAATATATGTGTTTCTGGATTCGGTATGGAAATTATTAGTATGGAAATAACTTTCCCATCACTTAGATATTTGCTCTCCAGTGGTGTCATGGCTAGCCTGCAATTCCTTTGGATGCATTTTGGATTTGCCTGAATCCTTGATAAAGAAAAAGAGTAAATGGCATGGTCAGAGCTGTTAGCTGGGTTCTTCCACTGTGAGGACACTCACCTCACAGCATGTTCCTCCCTTCATACCTGCAGGAATGCAGTCTTAGTGACAGCAGCCAGCACGGCTTCTCCTCCCTTCTGACTGCTGAGGATGTCACACATATCTCGTGTCACAGTTCTTCCCTTCAACTCCACCATTGCATGGAACTGCCAGCTGAGCTGGGTGGGGAGCTGTGCTTGCAGACCTCCTTCCCTGGATCTGGGTGAGTTGGAGACTGGTTTTATGGGATGCTCGTAGGAGTGACCCCTTGTTTGAACTGGCTGAATTCCTTCCTTCTGGATAATTTCTCATGTCATGTCACACCACCCTTCCAGGGGACTTTATTTCCTTCCTTCCTTCCTTCCTTCCTTCCTTCCTTCCTTCCTTCCTTCCTTCCTTCCTTCCTTCCTTCCTTCCTTCCTTCCTTCCTTCCTTCCTTCCTTCCTTCCTTCCTTCCTTCCTTCCTTCCTTCCTTCCTTCCTTCCTTCCTTCCTTCCTTCCTTCCTTCCTTCCT